AAACAGAACAAATTGATGCTTGAGACGTCTTGATAATTTCATTCATGAAACCAACATGTACGGAAAGGGGGAACATATGAACATGATAAAGAGTGTTACCAAGTTTCCTGTACGATATCAAAGGAGATTGATTTCTATCTGCATTTCCATTTCTAGAAAAAACTCTGTGAACGTGGAATAACTTAAGTGTCTCCATGTTTTACACGGAAAATGATAGCAGAACTTCATAGATCATGGTTTGCATAACATAGGAATGTACACTAGTCATTTGTATATGAAACACTTATAATGACTGTTATATAGTCAACCAGTAATTTGTTATGTAAAGATGTTTCAATGACGTCCTTACTTCAATTGTTCAACTCCAAGATTTACAGGTGATTAAGTTAGGTGTCAGAGATATTTATTTTCATTGCAAAAACTTATGGAGCGTGTGAACACTCCTGCAAACATCAGTGTGGAAGCTTCCTGTGCTGTTTTCCATCTCAGAAACCGGAAAAAAAATGTTTCCAAACTTGATAACAAATACACTGAAGTTGATTTAGCAAAGATTTAGCTTCTGAAATATTACAAAATGCAACATCTCTCTTTAAATTAATAATCCTGACCTGTAATGGAAAATACGCACAAATGTGATCAGACAAATTTTAAGGGAAAACATACTGAATAATGCTAGTCGTATTTGAACTTAAAAGCTGACATTTTCAATTCCACATTCATAGAGCATTTTAGAAAAGGAGATAAAACTGAAAATTCCTTCAGGAGAGTTAAGTACAAAAATTAGCAGCAGCAGTAATGTGAGAGGAAGGAAGGTTAAAAATAGGAAGGGAGGAAGGAGGGAGGGCAGGAAGGAGGGGAGGACAGAGGGAATGAGAGAGGGAGGGAGACAGGGAGGCAGGGGAGGGAGGAAAGGAAGGAAGAAAAGGTCCCTAAAGTTAACACACACCCCAAAAGATCTTAGAACACATGGTCTCAGATAAATAGTTCTGTTCTATCATACTACTCTAAAAGCAAAATAATAACTGATTAATATCTTGTCATTTCAAACATTCCTAAAATCAAACAGACTATGTCTATAAAGATAGGATTTAGTGTTGGATAAATCAATTTATTCAAGAACTGTCTCCACACTGCCAGGGTAAGGCATTATTCTGAAAATACTTAGAAATCGGTCTTTACTGCTCCAGCCGTAAGACTAGTGATGCACTGTCCCAAACAGCAAGGCTGAGTCTATACTAAGCTAAGCACTGGATTCTAGTGTAAGCAAAGCCCTTTAGTTTTTTATTTGTTTGTTTGAAACAACTATTGGCAGTTTTAAATTCTCTCATTAGCTGTATGGCATAATCAGTACTAATCTTTACAGGATTAGTTTTCTGATGGGGAAATGGTGGGTCTAGAGTAGATGACCTTTAGACTTCTTTGCCGGCTTTTAAAGGCCAGGGTTCCACACCTGCATTCAGTTCTACAATTTGGTGAGTTCTCTGAAAGTAGTGCTGCCATCCTGTGGTAGCTAGGATGATAGCTTTGCTTCGTCATGTCTGCTGGAGGGGGCAGGGCATCCCACTAGAGAACACTAGGTGAAGACAGATGTGCAAAGGGACAGTGCCATAGTTAAGGAGGATTAGCAACCAAGAAGGCATAAAACATAACAGCATCTAGCTATGACAAAGAGAAAAAAGAATTTTAAACAGTTTGTGTTGCCTCCAAGAAGGTCAAACATTTACTGAAAGGACTCCTCAATAACCGAGTATCAAGAAGGAACGGACTTTCTAAGATGTTGCCCTATGCACATCGGCAAGCGTTCCCATCATATGTGCATCGTTCAGCCTTTCCTGCAGTGGGCAACTTTGTGATTAGCATTTCAAAATGAAAGCAGATATCTAAAAATTATTCCAAAAAATATGTTTGGTATTTTTTAAAAACTTCAGTTCACTTGTGAAATGATCATTTTACTATGCAATACACAGTTGCATACATTCATGTACAGTATTATATGAATTCTGAAACTCTGCTTCAAGGAGTTGGGAGGGGAAACAGAGGTAGACTATTTAAGCTGTATTTCAAAGATCATAAGATCATGGAAGACCAAGCTTTTAATGTTTGTATGTTATTTCACTCAAAATGCAGGAAAAAAAGAGATACTAGACTTAAATCACATTCAAAGTTCTTTGCCTGTATACCAGGAAATGAACAACTTCTATTTTTTGTGAACGTGATTGCTCCACACACTACTACACATAGTATTTTCTTTCATCATTACAATGTAAATATTCATATGCTATATATGATCTGTTATTAACTTTTTGTTATATATAAATCTATATCTTTCAGTATTTAGTATATTAGCACTAAATGCCTTGAATTAAACCAATTTTTGTGGGCATTGGGATTAAACGTCTAGTCAACTGATTAAATTTTTCCATATGTTATAGCAGATAAAAATTGCCATTACTTATTCTAATAAGCTACAAAAAATGATTTCAGCAGGTTTCTTTAGTTTAAAAAAAAAGGAAAGGAAAATCTTCCATATCAGGTGTCACTTTTTTATGAGAGATGTCTATATTTCCTTTAAAAGACAATATGGATAAAATATGAAATACTGCCTGCTAATTCATTATGGCATTCTTGGTTTTTGGTTTAGGGATCGAATCACTGGCATTGCTATTCATTCATTAATGCATTTGTTAATTCATCAAATACTAATTGATCATTGTTCAAGGTCAGATATCGAAGGACTGCTCGCAATGTGGCAATAATGTAACAAATATCATTCAAATTAGAAAGTCACCATCTCCATAAATGATATATTGATCCGGCATACTGAATCCTCCAGAATTAAGACCTGTTCTGATAGGAAGCAAATGGGAAATGCATGAAGCCCATGACAACCTGGTTGACATCCACAAATAAATTACTATAGACATATGTCTTATAAGGTAGCAATTCGGATATGCAGTGTGCTTGCTCTTAGATAAAAATTGTTTTAACTTGGTAAGATTAAGTTGTTTTAAATTATTGTCTATTAACTGCCATTGAAAACAGTACAATGAGGTTGGCTTTGTTTTTTTCTCTCTCTTTTTTTTTTTTGGTTAATGAAAATGTTTTTCTTTTAATGTTGTACTGTCCACTATTAAAAATCTAGTGAGTTGTTTTATTTAATGTCAATTTAAAGTATGATAACTTTCATTTGTCTAAATTAATAGAATAATCTGAATCATTATGAAGTTTATTTATGAAGTTTAATTCATGTATATACATTCATAAAGTAATATTCTAGTCATGTTGCATTTATATTTTAAATTATGCACTTAAAAATATTTTCTTTAACAGTAAATATGCAATCTGGGTTTCTTCTACATAAACTGCATAAAATATTTAGCAAATATAGAACTATTATTTTATACAAATCTAGATCTATATAGGTAACTAGTATTTTATTGGTGGCTATCACTCAGACCTTTTAAGTAGCAGGTTTTAACTTATAAGCATATAGATAAGATATATAAACTGACTAATATAAAAAAAATCCTTTCTTGTTCCCTGTTCTGAGGAAGGAATTCTACCATCATTGGAACAGATATGAAATTATTTGGTAGCTTGTAAGGACGTCTTACTGCTGTAATGGAAAAGGAAGATGTAGAGGAAAAGCTAAATTCTTTATAAGACCTGACACTAGCTACCCTACCAGCCTTGTTTCCTGTAGTTTCTTTGAGTTTTCTCTTTATTTAGCTATATTGGTTATAAGTCCTCCAGACTAAGAATCAACTGTTTATAGACTTCCTAAAGAAATACATAGGTCTCTCAATACGAAGTGATTATCAACCCTTCACCCGGTAGCATGAACACATTCAACTCCGGGCCTCGTGGTACAACAGTGCTATGCATGTTGAGGAAAAGGATGCTGAGTGGTCTTGTAGCTTGGAACACTTCTACACTTAGAATCAGATAAATTCATTGTCAAAGACCAGGTGAACTCTAAGACCCTGGTCAACAGCCATAGACTGTAAATTCCAAGAAAGAAGTGGGGGCCTTGGGAATTAACCCGATGGGAAGGCCAGCAAACCATCGGGCTCCTGTTTTATGTCGTTCCTAATCTCAGGCTTTAAAAGGTCGTCATTATGAGGGCCTTGTTTCTGCACACAACAGCTCAGCTTTAGGGGTCTACAGAGTGAGCATAGATCAGGAAGACGATAGGTCAATCAATCTGGCAAGGGATGCATATCAAGACCTTCAAGTAATTGCTAAATAACTTCTACCTCGCAGAGTTGGCGCAAGCACGGTCTTTCTCTTCTTCCGACTTTGCGTATGGCAAAGCCCGCCCCATCTCCTTCAATCTGGAGCTCTGCCAGACGTCAGTGCTATGCTCCTCCATAATATATAGCACAAACATATGTGTATATGTTTCTATGGGTACGTGGACTCATATATTCAAGATTGAAACTCATGAAAACTCTGAAATAAGTCCCCATATCAGTTACAAAATACCTAAGAAAAAACTTTAGATTTAAAAACAAAAATACCTGGAGAGCTGGTAGAGCCACGTGTAAAGTATCTATTCTGTCATGCATTTCCCTTCTAATGAGACTATCCGGTTACTGACTATTAACATGGAATGTAATTACGCAATTTCTTTTATTCTGTTAAAATATTTTCTCTGTGAAGTCTCCCAAACCCTGTCTTGTTTGCCACAGCACTATCGTAATGCTGCACAGATAAAAAGAGTGGAAGAATGGCATACTACTTAACTGAGTCTAAAAATAGGAATGTGTTTCCCGGTACATTTATTTTTTTCATGTGTATTAAAACATGAAGGAATTCTATGCTGCCAATGTGCGTTACCGGTTCAAGAAATGAAAAGGACGGGCAGGTTGAGGAAGAGAGAACACTTTGTTTCTGCTGGTCCTTTCTATGAATTTTATGCACATGTGTGATTTTACATTTGGAGATAAAAGTGAACCTCACTTGTTGACTCTGGTGTTGGCTCTCCCCACGTCATGCAGCAAAGCCCGCCAATCACCGGCCTGCAGAGAGCTCCGTGTCCACCGGCTCCTCGGGCAGCAGCGTTGGCAGTGGGTATAGCGTGGACAGTGAAGGAAGCGGCAGCGTGGCAGGGGAGACTAATCTACTTCCCATTCCAAGGATGTAAGTGCTTCTTTTATAAAAACAAAACTGCAGTTTTAACAGCATCGTGAGTAATCCGTTCTTAACATTTCACAGGAGAAAAACAAAGTAATTATCCAGTTCTGAATCACTGTCCTTGGGCATCTGAACTGCTGATGCCTACATAAGAATCAGGTGTTCAGGGACGACTGGATTGTTTCAATTAATTCTAAATATGAATGCAAATGACTAGCTTGATGACTTCACCTGCACTGCCTGAATTTAACATAAAAGCTGTTAGAATAATAACGCAGAGAAGCCTTCATCACACGATGACCAGACACCAACCTTCATATTTGACAATAACTCAGATTAGGTTTTTTTTTTAATCAGGAGAGATTTCACATTTGAAGAATTCATAGCATCTTTGAAACAGATGGCAAATTGGGATAATCGTTAAGACTTTTCAACTCTAAACCTCTCTGCAGTTAAAATGGAAGATTTTGAAGTGTTTTCGTGATTTCTAAGCTTGCTCCAGAAACATTCCTTCTCTGGGAATACAGCTCATTCATATGATGTTAAGCCTCACGACAGTAATTTTGCAAGTCAGATGAAAAACTAAAGCAGATTGTGATAGAATGGATTTAGATCGATTGTAGATTATGTCTGTTCCAGTTTCAAAATCTAAACTTGTAGACCTTCCATTTTCCTTTCCATGAACTAATCTTGTGGGTTTGAAAACACTGCCAGGGTATCCAGACATGTGAGCAGGCCATGTATGCTTTCATAAGGACCTTGAACGCCACAGTTTTTAATGTTAAAAAGGAGGCTATGTCACGACGCATGAAAAGCATATCAAAATGACCTTTCCTGGCCGAGCTGTGTTGGACACGGCCGTCCCGGGGACTTGCCAGCCGTGCTTTGCTGCTTTGTGCTGCAGGGCGCAAGGGAGCTGCTGTGACAGCGGGCACCTCGGGACTCTGGTCAGGACAGCTAAAGGTCTTTTCATTTTCTCCAGCAGTGTGAAGTCTTCTCAGGCAGCGGAATAATGATTTCCTTACAAAATATTACAGAAATACCCCCTTTGAGCCCTACAGTAATTCTATAGTTAGCGATTCATCTCAAGAAGGTAAAATAATAGGGAAAGCAAATTTTAATTGAGAATAATGCGTTGATTTTATAGCTTCCAAGTGACATTTTCCTCCTTAAAGGAACTCTTATTCTATTCCCAGCTCATCTGAGAGATTTTTCTTATATGACTTTATCTTTGAACTTTAGTCTATGGGTTCAAAAAGAGTGGTTGTACTTCATCAGTTCTGTTTATTGGAGATCATTCCTAAAAAGAACCTGAGCTCATTAATATCTCACTTCTGATAATCTTGCTGGAAAAAAATAACAGGAATTTAAGAGAATTCATTATATTTCTCTCTAGGCTGTGAATATCATAGGAATTTATGAAGAGTGTATTACAAATAATCTAACACTCTTCTAGTCTGTCTGGACCTCTCAGACTATATAATTTAGCACTGAGGTTGAAGTCATAAATTCCAGAGATTAAATTATCTTACTTCCTCAGCATCTGTCTTACTGTCTGAGGTAAAAAGATGATCATATTCCCATTTTCTTTCTTTTTTCATGTTTTTTTCTCATTGAACAAATGTCTCTCAAAACTGTGTGGGTAGAAGACAATCATTTCACTGCATGGACACAAAGAGAAGTCTCCCGTATGTGAGAAACACTGTTTGTTCCTTCTTTCGGTGTCTCTCTGTGTCTCCCACAGTGTTATCTGACCTAGAACAAGTGTTCAAGAACTCTAGAGTGGTTGACTTGGACGTTTAAGGTACAGCATATGCCATCTGAATGCTCTGCATTGGAGGCAATTTGTGGAGAACTCGGGAAAATTGCCTGCTTCACACAACTGATAGCCGCACAACATTTAGTCTCCCTATTCCAGTGTGCTCCAAGATTTCATGCATTCTTCAGGTGTACTTACTGCACATTTTGATACTTCTTAAAAATTAAACTCAGTTTTCACAAGAAATAAAGACTATTTTCAGGCATGATCTTTAAAAAATAAAATTGATGATTCAGGTCTGATTTTTTATTACTTAAACTAATAAAATTATAACAATTTTTATAAATTTGACATAATATAAGTATAGTCATTTTCAATACTCTGATCGGCTGTTCTGGCAGTACTGAAGTGATGCTCATCCTTAGCTGGGTTTTGTCTAGGAACAAGACACATTTTGGTTCATTCTCCCAGCATACATACTGCAGCTAAGCCCTTAGCATTAGTTTATTTAACCTAACTAATTTCATCTTAATGAAACAATTACACAAACTGAAAGTCAGTAGGAAATATAGCCCAGTGGTATAGCAATTGCCTAGAATGTGAACAAGCCTGGGGTCAGTCTTCAGTACAACAAAATTAAATAAATGGAAATGAAATTCTGTATTCTGCTTAAGCAGACTGTGAATTCATATAGAGACAATCTACATAAACATCTAGATCGCTCACAGATATACAAACACGAACATATACATACATACAAATTTTGGGAATTATATAATCTGCATGCACGTGGTCCTTACATAATCATTAAATAGAATTCTGTGCTTAAATATTTGACCTAAAATTGTTACAATGGAACAATATAGTGACTTTGAAGATAAAATGATTTCTAAATTTACATGTTTCCTTTTATTACATACAGAAACATTTCAGACTCTTATCTGGAATACAGTGACAAGAGGATTTTTTAAAGGCAGTTTTTTTAACAGAAATAATTAGACTCTTATGATACAAGAGTAGTTACAATTTTAGTAGATCCAGGAAATCAGCAACGTTTTGTGGAAATAAGAATAAATATTTGTTAATAAATATTTCTGTATCAGAATTACAATCTAGAAGTTTTCGTATCGAGGCACTCTTCAATTCATGCTCTCATTTAGCATGTTTAAGGTTTATGTGTGTGTGTGTGTTATTTTTTGTTGTTATTGTTGTTTTAAGACAAGGTCTCACTATGTAGCTTTGGCTGTCCTGGAACTCTCAATGTATATTAGGATGGCCTCAAACTCACAGAGATTCACCTGCCTCTGTCTCCCAAGTTCTGGGACTAAAGGCGTGAGTCACCACACATTTGAGTATTATTCCACCATGTTGTGATGGAATGCAAATGCATTTAAAGGCAATTCCAAAATCCACTGGATATCATGAGAAATTTTCTCCAGCTGAAGCAACAAAAGGTAGCCTACAGCCTTTTGGAAGGTATCCAGCCAGCATTCTACTCTCACAGTTTTAAAGTACTTTAAAGTGTTTTTCCAGTTGCCTTGACCAAAGCCTTGAGGCAGACACTAGAAATGAGACAGATTTTTTGGTTAAATTCAGTTACTAAATGTATTGTCTAATTATTAACACTATATACTTATTTGACTATCTATAGTTACTCAGGCACTGGGCTCAATCTTCATAGGCTTTTCCACTGTCCTCAAATAAACAAATACATACATACATACATACATAATACATACATACACGTCCTTTGGTTTAGGTTCCACATGACAAGAGACAGCAGAACCATAAGAAAAGAGCAGGCAGTGTGATATGAAAGTGGTTTGTTTAAAACACGTGAAAACACAGGAAGGACCTAAAAATTCATGGAGTAGAATTAAAAGTCTATGTTATTAAAATATTTTAAGGTATAGTTTTTTTTATTTTCTAAATGACACAAATGTGTATCTGTTGGACTAAATATATACACTATGCAATGTTCAAGAAAAGATTTCCTCAAACATTTCTCAACTCTTCACGGTGAAGACAAACAGAGTGCTTTTAAGGTTTTTTGGAATGCCTTATTGTTAGGTCCAGTCAGTTTACAGTAAAGTATCATACTAGAACTTGTTGATCTGTAACTAACAACCCATTAAGCAGCCTTCCCTGTGTTTTCCCCCTCCTTATTCTCCCAGCATCTGGTAACAACATTCTCATGTCTGTGCAATGGAAATTTTTAGATTCTAAATATGAGCGAAGTCTTACAATATTTGTCTTTCAGTGCTTGCTTTATTTCACTTAACTCAGTGTAGTCTAGCTCCACCCTTGTTGTTCCAAATAACTGGATACCATTCTTTCTATAATTAATAGTGCCTTCTGCTGCCCATCTAACATAGTCTCTTTAAGCATTCATCAAAGAGATATTCACTGACCCATTTGGTGGATTTGACACTGATTTTATTAATATTGTGGCAGAGCTTCAATAAACATTGAAGTACAGATATCTATAACATATTGATTATATTCCTGTTATATGTATATTTCCCTGTAGGACTGTGAGATCACATGGCAGTAGTTTGACTTTTAAACTTCATTAAGTGTAAAAGTCTTTATTTCAGTGTTAGCTTGTGGCTAGAGTTTTCCTCGTCCTGCCTGGCCCACGGTCAGGACAGATCTCTCTCACCTGCCAGTCCCACAGCCGCTTAGACCCAACCAAGTAAACACACAGAGACTTATATTGCATACAAACTGTATGGCTGCAGCAGGCTTCTTGTTATCTAGTTCTTATATCTTAAATCAACCTATTTCTGTTAGTCTATAAGTTGCCAAGTGGCTCGTGGCTTACCAGTACCTTACATCTCGCTTGTCATGGTGGCAGCTAGCAGCATCTCCCTGCCTCAGCTTTCCACCTCCCAGAATTCTCCTCTCTCCTTGTCCTGCCTATATTTCCTGCCTGGCTACTGGCCAATCAGCACTTTATTTATACAGAGCGCTATCCACAGCATTAGCTTTTTTTCCCCTTGTACTGTATTCTTGGTTTCTTCTTGTATACAATGCATTGTGATCATATTCCTCTCTCTCATACCTTTTCTCATAGCCTCATATATGTTGTTTCCCTTCTTCTCAATTTGTTTCCTTCCAGTCCCCACCACTTTCATTTCCAATCATATGTATACAAGTCAGGCAGGTATTCACAATACAATACAATACAATACAATACAATACAATACAATACAATACAATACAATACAATACAATACAATACAATATGTTTGTGACAGCAAAAGCCATTTCATATCCAGAGGATAGCATTTTATAGTATTCCTTCTCTTCCTCTGGCTCACTCAGTCTTTTTGCCCTCCTTGAAGTGGGTGAAACAGATGTTACATTTAGGGTTATGCAGTCCTTGTCATCAGTACTTCGAGGGGTTATGAGTCTCTGCATTGACCATGACACACTGCTACAATTTACTTTTCATTTTTGATGAAGGTCATACCGTTCCCCATAATGGCTATACTGATTGAAATTCCCAAAATAGTTTGTAGGTTTACCTCCTCGCCTCACTCATGGCAGTTTGTTTGATATGTCGAAACATTTCTCCTAGTGTAATGCAATGTCTCCCTGCTGCTTTGATTTGTTACCTCCTGATTAGTGGTGTTGAACTTTTTCATATACCTATTGGCCACTTGTTATCATCTAAGAAATACCTATTTAAGTTATGAAATTATTTCTATGTATTACTTAATTCATTATTTACTTTCTCACTAAAGAACCTATAACACTTCATTATTATAAAGATATAGCTCCTTGAAAAAAAGCTCCTTTGGGAAAAAATTAAAAGCAAGGATAAATGTTTGAGGATGTGGGTATGTTTGACTAGATTTAACTACTGTGTATATATACATATATTGAAGAACCATGTAGTCTCTGTTAATGTGAGTATTTTTTAAGTTGTTTGTGTGTTGAAAGATTTTTTTTTTTAATGGGGGAAAAATCTAAGAATTTCATGAGTTTATTTTTTATAAATGAGTTTAAAAATAAAATGTGTTGATTTCTGTGATAATATGTTTAGACTGGCTAGGAATAATAATGAAGTCCCCATTCTAAAATTAATGTGACATAGCATAATTAACTGCTTGCATATTTGCCATTTAAATCATCCACAATTGACTCTGAATATGTAATGTTAGTTTCTTGCTCCAAAACAAACCCCTTTTGTATTAGAGGGATCATAACTAAAGATGTTGTTTTTTTTTCTTTGAAACAGAGGGAAGATGGGACAGAATGGACAAGACGCTGTGAAACAGCCAGGAATGGGAGCGACAGACACAGAAGGTGAGTGACATTTACATCATTGAACTGCACCAGAATCTACGTGCTCCATTATAAACTAATCTGTGACAAATGGCAAAAGCCCCAGGTGGCAAATCATCATCTAGTGAGTAAGAATAACTTCGTGCTTATTAACCACTGTCAATTTCCTTAATTGTATTCAATATTGAGTACCTTGGGGGACAAAATCTTTAAAGAGGATCACAAGGATGATGGGAAAGAGACTCAAAAGATTAGTGGGACAGAAGAGAGGACACAAGATTCAATCCATACAGGTACAGCCAGCTGCATTTTACAAAGATTCCATGAACATGCGTTGGTGAAAATGCCTTCAACAAATGATACTGGAAAGTAATATTCACATGAAAAAGAATGAAACTAGATCTTTGTCTCACACCTCGTACAAAAACAGACTCAAAGTATATCAAAACCTATAATGTGAGACCAGAAGTTCTGCCGTGTTGAGGCCCAGGTCTAGGTAAGGACTTCTAATGAAAAGGACCCCAAAGCCAGGAAATAATGTCAAGAATTGACAATGAGATTGCATGAAATTTAAGTTTCTGTATATAATAAAGGATCAAAACTCTGCCAAATTAATCTCCATAATATACAAAATTTAAAAACTTAATACAAAAAACTAAATACCCAAACCCAAAGTAACTTAATAAATCAATAAATATGATCGTGAAAAGAACATTTGATCCTCAACTGATAATGTAAAAATTATAAACATATAAAAATATTCAGCATCTTTAGCCATCAGAGAAATGCAAATAAAAATTACATTGTGTTTCCTATTACCACGTCAGGATGGCTACTATCAAGAAAACAAACAACAGCAAATGTTGGAAACAGGACGGGAGTAGGAAACAGGACAGTAGAAAATGCTTGTACATTGCTGGCGACAATATAAATTAGTCAAGGTACTATGAAACCAGTATGGAGGGTCTGGAAAATTAAAACTATCATATAATCTAGTTATACCACATCCTACATACATACTCAAATGGGTCTAAGTCAACTTTTCACAGGGTAAATGTTTAAAGAAACACTATTCAAAATAACCAAGTTAAAGAATTAACCTGGGTATCTACCAGTAGATTAATATATGAATAAATGTGGTGTACATACACAATAGCAATGTTTTCAACCACAAAGAAGAACTAAATCATGACCCTTCCTGGAAAATAGATGCAGCTGGAGATTTACACATTGAGCAAAGCAAACCAGATGCTTAAAACAAATATCGCATTTTCTCTCATTCGTGAATTATAGATTTTCACAGATATAATCACACATACAAAAAAAACTCACAGGACATTAAAGCAGCTAATGGGAAACTGTAGCAAGGTAAGTGACTAATGCCAAAGGGGAAGAGGAGGAGAAAGGGAGATAGAGGGGTAAATGTGGTCAAAATTCAGGATATACCTAGAAATATCTTTCTAGACTTGAAACTTACTTTAAATAATTTGACAACAATGTAAAACTTTTAAAAGTATGCTTTCTTGAAATGTAAAGAAATTGGGTTCTTTTTGGGTTTGTTTATTTCATCTTCTGTGTATGAGTGTTTCGCCTGCATGTGGTATGCGCACCATGTGCATGCCTGGTGCTCAAGGAGGTCAGAAGAGGTCACTGGTTCCTCTGGACCTGGAGATGTTCACGGTTGTGAGCCACCATGTGTGATGGGAATCTAACCCAGGTCCTCTGCAGAAGCAACAAGTACTTTTCATCACTGAGCCAACTCTCCAGCCCCAAGAGATGTATGTTTCAATGTCATACAAACAGAAAGATGAATCCTGACCTATTTAAATCATGACATTTTTTATTTATTTTATTTTTTTTACTTTTCTTGTTTTTGAGATTATAATTAAATTACATTTCTATCCATTTTTTTTGCTTTATATACACTTTTGTCTTACATTTGTTTATTTATGTATTTATTTATTGTGGGGCCACAAATATTAGGCATATAAGGAAGTGAAAGGGAACCTGTAGGAGTCACTTTCCTCCTTTCCCTGTGTCAGAGTCTGAACTCAGCTCATCAGACTTGGCAGAAAGACCCTTTTTCTGCTGAGCCATTTCACCTATCCACACTCCAGGGAAATTCTTAACTCTATGAAGCTCAGAAGAAATGAATGCTGTAAGAATAATTTTATTAAAAATTTACTGAGCAAACTTATAAAGTCAAATTTGAAAATAATTGCAATGAGCAAATAATGAATTACTTCAAATTACAAAAAACTGACTTCAACAAAAATGTATCTAAAAGCTAAATAACTTCATATTTTATAGTTTTGTGATGAAGTCTAATATCTATTATACTTCATAAATTGTTCATCTCAAATATTTTTTACTCTTCTAAATATTTCATAGCACTCAAAGTACATTTTTAATATATTACTTCATTTAATTCTTTAAATTACCTCTAAAATAAATAGCATATATTGGAATTATATTAAAGGATATCAAGTCACAATATAAACAAGGTTATAAGTAAATTGATCCTAATAAATGACACCAAACATCGTTCTATCAAAAAAAGAGAGAGAGAGAGCGTGATTTGGGGACTATAGATATAGCTCAGAGGTTAAGAGCACTGGCTGTTCTTCCAGGGGGCCTGAGTTCAATTCCCAGCAACCACAGGTGGCTCACAACCATCTATGAGATCTGGTGCCCTTTTCTGGTGTGCAGAACTCTATGTACATAATAAATATTTGAAAAAAAATCTTATTTGAAAAAACTAGAGGACATGAGTGGTCTTGGCTTCACTTCTAAACTATTGTGGGATATGAGAAGTGATTTCCCTGCCCTCAGAAACCTCATCTGGTAAATGCTGAGAGTAAATGAGTTTCCTCAGGGTCTTAGAAGATGCCATATTTTCGTGGTTCTTAGCAAGATATCTTTGACTCATTCAAAATCTCTAGGTCTTCTACCTGTTGCCTTGTTCCTCAAAGTCCTCTCCACTCCCTGGTCCTGTCACACACACACACACACACACACACACACACACACACACACACACACACACACATATGCAGCATGCAAGTGCACACACACAGAGGGGCAGCATGAGGGAGGGAGAGTGAGTGACCGCACAATTCTCTTATATATTCTCATTCATATATATATATGTACATATATTACTTCCCAATCTATTACCCAAGTGACCTAGAATACAAGCTCATTGGAGATCACATTCAGTTAGGCATTTATATCCCAGCAGGAAAAAAGAAAATACTCCATGTGTCTAAAGTAGAAAATGCATGCAGCTGTTTACGGCTCTAGGTGTGGCATGAACCTGGGAGACCAGGGCCTAAAAATGAGGTAGATAAAGTCTCAAGCAATAGTTAACTTTACTCAGAGAATCAGACAATTTCTACTAAAGGTTAAGCAGAGTCACCTAAGTAAAGTGTTCAGTCACAAAGACAGCCACACGTGGTAAAAACATGTTTTTCTATAGAAGCACATGAATGGCCACAACTGAAGTAAATTCATTCCCATCCATAACACCTGGGAGGAGCCGGAAACATATTCCAAGAACAATTCTGTGTTTTGAAGAAACTGAGGTCACAAGACTCTTGTCTTGTTTTCTTGGAGTTTTCTCACAAGCACGCACAATTCCCTCGCATGACTCCGTTCTTGGATGCTGTTCTGACATAGAGCTATATAAATTAATATATGACTATTATGTAAGTATATGTGAATATAAGTCAATAGCTTCTAATTTCCTCATGTATATTCAAGTACAAAAAGAATTCAAGTATAAAAAGCACAGTTCATGTATAATTTAAGACTTTTCATCTCACCTTTCTTTTAACCGTCATGCTTATAAGCAAACTGAACCTGTGTTAATGTTAGCAGCTGTGAATGGAGATGCGGCACATGCCTCACTGCACACTGCACACAGCACACTCCGCACAGCACACTCCACACTGCACACTCTACATAGCACACTCCACACTACTGCACACTCCACACTGCACACTTCACACTGCATACCCCACAATGCACACTCCACACTGCACTCTATGCACTGTGCACTGTACACTCCGCACCGCACACTTTGCACTTCACTCCACGCACTGCACACTCCACACCTCACACTCCGCACCGCACACTCCACACTGCATACCCCACACTGCACACTCCAAACGGCACAGTCCACACTGAACAGTCCATACTGAACAGTCTGCACTGTGCTCCCCATACTGCAACCCACACTACACACGCTGCACTGCACACCCCACACTGCACACTCCACACCACACACTCTGCACTGCACACTTCACACTGCACACCCACACTGCACACTTCACACTGCACAGTCTGCACCGCGCTCCCCGTACTGCAACCCACACTGCACACTCTGCACTGCACACCCGCACTGCACACTCCACACTACACTCCCCACAGTGCACTCCCTGCACCGCACTCCCCACACTGCACTCCACACTGCATACTCTGCATACTCTGCACTGCACACTCTGCACTGTGCACTCCACACTGCACACCCTGAACCGCACACCCTGAACCGCACACCCTGAACCACACACCCCACACCGCACATCCCGCACTGCACACCCCCCACTGCACTCCGCACTACACTCCCCACAGTGCATGGTCCACACTGCACACTCTGCACTGCACACTTCACACTGCACACTCCACACAGCACGCTCTGGACTGCTGTCTCACTTCCCATCAGTCCCATACAAACATGCTTGTTTTCTAAAAAGGAGCGAATCTGAGGCTGCTTCCTTTTTATTTAAACTTGTGAGTCAATCTCTTTAAGCTCTAGTGAACTGACCCTGACCAGTGACTCTCAGATTAGTTCTAGAACCAAGTGGTGGGGTCGAGGTTGAGAATGGAAATGTAACGCAGGGTGAGGCATTTATAGTTATGTCCCCTTGAGGACTAGCAGAACTTTAGACAAGTTGTTCTGGTCTTAGATAAGACAACCCTTCAAAATAATCGAATTTCTAGTTTTCATAGTTCTGTGAAAG